GCCAGCCAATGGGACCCACTCGCCACGTCGACGCCGAACCAAGTGAGGTTTCACGAATATATAAAACGTCTTAGGCCGCGCCAGAGATTAAAATACGACATGCAGCCGGCGTTGACGGTGGTCGACGCTTACGCTACTACGGACATTGGCAATACTCGCAAGGACAACGAAGACGAGTTTTGCATTGCACTCGACCTGCCGCTGCGTACCCCTTGTGACATTGCACGTCGTCGGTCGCTCTTTGCTGTCTTTGACGGCCACGGTGGCGTCCGCGCCGCAACTTTTCTTAAGACCCACCTACTTTCGTACTTGGTCCAGGACCCGCAGTACGGCCAGAGCACGTCGGACGCACTCGCCTCGACGCTGCGGCGGCTCGACGCTGCTTTTTTGGAGCTCGCGCGGCGTCACGGCGGTGCAATCGATGGCTCCACCGCGATTGTTGTCGTGCTCGAGCAATTTGACGGGGATGCGTCGCCAACGCTTGTGTGCGCCAACCTCGGCGACTCGCGCGCCGTCTTGATGAGTCACCAGCGTTGGGAGCCGCTCTCGCGCGACCAAACGGCGTCGCGCGCCGACCAGCAACCCCTGGTCTACGACAACGGCGGGTTCGTAGCGTTCCGCAATACGTACCGGGCGCCAACGTCGGAGTTGCCGCTCTGGCGTCGGTGGTGCCGAGAGGTACCGCCTCGTCTCAACCATGCAAATCGATTGCATGCATGGAAATGGTACTATCCTAGATCCACGACGCGTGGCAAGCCGGGGTCGTGGGCCGACCGTTGCGCGTGTATCCTGGCGGCGTCGTGTGCACGCAAGTGATTGGGGACCTCGACTGCAAGCAAGTCGGCGTTGTCCGTGCCATCGCCGAGTGTACAGTCGTCGAGCTCCACCCTGCTCACGTATGTCTCGCTATAGTATGATCCAAATGGGATAATATGGCATGGCCAATGGACTAGACGATGGTGGTACTGGCCTCGGATGGGCTGTGGGCCATGGTGACCAACAAGGCTGTGCACGCGCATGTGCACGGCATGACATCGGCAACCACCGCTAGCCACGCCCTCATGCAGCTCGCCAAAGCGCATCGCCGGAGCACCGACAACATCACGGTGGTCGTCGCGACGTTCACATGGCAAAGTGGTGTGCCGTAAAACAACCGGGCAATGCTTCACTTATGGCGTTAAGAACGGCATCGAGAGCGTCTTGTGCGTCGACGGAAAGGCCGACTCGCTGCGTTTCTTGGCTTCTCGGTTGTCGCGGAATTGGACATCTATGTACAAATTGTCTTATAACCTGTGGACAATACGATGCCGACCTCGTACCTTGAAAGTGATGCAGTGCCTGGAGGCGTCGCATGCGGGGACTCGGGCGCAGTCCAGCATACGGACGTGAGACATCGGTTGGTGCGCATTGCTACGTGCGAAAA